GCCTCCAGGAGAGTTGGCCACACTACAATTCTTTCTCCTCCATTCTCCTCTTAGGATTTTGGGCATGCCAACACATGCCTGGCATGATTTTTAAGCCAATAGGTCTGGGGGCTTGAACTGCCATCGGCCATGTGGGAGTCCAATGCCTTTACTGCTACACCACCTGCTGGCCCTATAACATATATCTTTTATATGTAAATATCTAATTTTTTAATTGGCCATATGACATTGTTGCCATGGCTAATACTTCAATTAGTATTAATAGTTATAAACAATTTGTGCTTTTACATAGATTTCTATAAGTGAGCTACAGAAATACTAAAAATTAACTTCCAAGACTTTCTTTTGCCAGTCTACCATTCATTACATATAAGAAAACTGAAAATCTTTTATATTGTAGGAAAAAAATATTTAACACATTAGTCAAGTTTTTAAAGTACTTTATACTGATTAAACAGTTAACATGTCTTACTGAAAACAAATTTAGTGGGAAATAGAAATCACACAGACCTTAATAGTGACTCTTGCTTCATTAAGAATTGTTAGGTGGTCATTTTTAATATCCAACTTGTTCATTTTTGAAATCTTACTAACTTTTGAAATGTTGCTATCACAGTTGGTATAATTACCTCGGAAAAAAAATAAGTTAAGGCTCTCCTAATTGAAGAAAAGGAAGAAATACAGTAGTTATATATAATTAAGAATGGATAATATCATTAAAATCTTGTTTAAACAAGAGATTTTAGGGGAGGGTTTTATTTTGTTTTTGGTGTAATTTGCCAGAGGGAACGTGTGCTTCCTGGAAAGAGAAAGGGAAAGAAAGCTCCTCCCGATGGGATGATCATGCTGCAATCCCTTCTCTTTGTTTCTCCCTCCTCTTGGGATTTTGGGCACGCACACACAGGCAGGGTCAGCCATGTGGGAACCAGCCGCCTTAGCCACCATACCACAGGTTAGCCCAAGGTTTTCTTTTTAACACTGCTAATGATAAAATGTGAATGAGTCATGCCATTTGTTTCAGAGCATTGCTGTGGAAATTTTTCTTTAGACTAAATAAGACTATGTTTTCTAATTCTTATCTCCTATAAACTACAAATTTACAATTTAAATAAAAATTACAACTTGTCTCTACATTTCAAGTCAAAGTACTTTCAAGTTCTTGATAAGAATCTCATAATCATTTACAGCAAAAAATAACCAATATTTTGTTAGCCTTACTTAGAATAACAAAATGCAGAGTGAACTGGAAATTCCCTGCATGGATTTTAAAAAACCTTGTATCCCATGAATAAATGTAAAATCTGTAAATAGCATAGGGTCTCTATATTTATAAGCATTCATCATTTCCTCTATTAATATTTAACTTCTTTCAGAATAGATTCATATTAATTAAATTTATTTCATACTAAAACAGCAGAAAATAGAAAGACACATGTAAAAAGTGACTATTCTTAGAAAAAATTGCAGTTGATTTTTTTGTACTTATCAACCAACATAATAAAGCCTTTATTTTCAATACCACTTCATATATATTTGCTTGCAAATGTTTTTTTAAATATAGATATTGGGGTAAATCGTTAAACAAGTAATAGAAATTCTCACCCTTAAACATCACAGTGTACAAAATATCCTTAAATAAATATATCACATTCTATTTGAAACCGAATTTTCTTACTAAATTGTAGAATGACTTAATGATTAGATTTCAGGGTGGTATAATAATGCAGAAAAAATGGGAAGGGATGGAAACTCAGTGATTTTTTTTTTTCAAGTTTAAATGTTTTCCAAATGTAATTCATTATCTAAAGTGGGGAGAGGAGGTGATTCACAAGGAACACATAAAAAAAGAAAAAAGAAAGAAAAGTAATGTTACCAAAGAAGTCAGGAAGGTGTACAGGATATGGTCATTTATTCTTTTTTTTTCTTTAATGTCCATTAATCTTTTTTATTTTGGATTTATTTATTTATTCATTCATTCATTCATTTTTATTTTTTTTTTTAAATTTGACCAGGGAGAGAGAGGAAAGTGAGAAAGCAAGCCACCAGGTCCAGGACTTGAACCGTGGTCGGCCATGTGGGAGTGTCCAGCGCCTTAACCACCACGCCACCTGCTGGTCCCAATATGATCATTTATTCTTAAAAACAAGACATTAAAGCACAAATGTGCTTGTTTCCCCTATAATAAAAGATCAGTCGGTCATGTGTTCTTTGATAATTAGTATCCTGTCCCAAGGGTAAAAGATGAATAATAGGGAAAAAAAGCTACAGAATTATTTTTTAAGACTTATTTTTATTCATTTAATTTAGTTATTATCTTTAAAAAAAAATTGACCAGAGAGAGACAAAGAGCAAGCAAGGAAAAGTGGGAAAGCAAGCCACTTTTCACTCAAGTGAGACTCGAACTGCAGTCAGCCATGTGTGAGGGCAGCACCTTAACTACCATACCACCTGCTGGCCCCAAGCTGTAGAATTTTTAACCTCTCTAGAGAGAAAAAGCTTTCAAGCCTTAAATTCTAAATTACTCTGTTGGAAAACTTTAAAACTGCAGTAAATATAGTAAAGAGGGGTACAAAAATAGTGACCAAAACATTATATAGCCTATAGTGCTCTAAATTCAAAAGAATCGTACTTTACAACTTATTTCTCCAGGAGGGTATACAATCAAAACCTATAGGGAATCTGCTTCTAGTCATCACTTTTTAATTTAGTTTCAACAACAAAATCATTTAAAATAAATGTTTATTACAAATAGCTTAAATAGCTGAATAAATATCAAATCAAAGCACTTTTCAGTTATCATTACATAAGTAATAAGAACTTCATAACCATATATGGCAAAATATAAATTATTATGTTCTTTGTCTTACTTGAAATAACAAAATGCACAGAGTGACCTGGGAATTCCCCACATAGAAAAAAACTTCATGTCCAAATGTAAGAGCTATACACATTCTAATCAAAAGATCTCTATATTTATGAACACTCATCATTTTATCTTTTTCTTTTCCTGTTTTCTTTCTTTAGGAATAGAGTCACTTCAATTAGATAAATGTATTTCATACTGAAACAACAGAATTCAGGAAGACATCCCCAAAGCAACCATCTTTAGAAAACAAATCACAGCTGATTTCCTTTACTTGTCAACTTACTAATAAGATAACCGTTATTTTCTTTTTTAAAAATCTAGTATGCACTTCATTGACTTTTTAAAGGCATAAGAGTCCAGAGAGAAAACAGTATTTATTCCATATAATTAAACATTCAATTTGCCAATCCATGCACAGCCATCATTTGTCAAGCCTGTGAGTTCAATGGCCAAGAGAGAGCAGTTCATAATATTCATATGTAAAAATGCACACAAGTGACCTATTATCTTTCACTAACATATGTTGCAATATGTCTTCATAACACACATTGTTTGTCACTCATGTTTAGAGATCATTATAGTACATTAAACTCACATGTGTACCCACATAAAGCTTTCCTAGAGTGAACTGGTATTTTGTTAATCAGCTTGCATGTCTTTTTAGCAAAAATGCTTAGAAAATGAAATGCCTATATACCAAATATCTAAGACCTACAAAATGTAGACTTCTATATTTTATAACTAAGTAAAAAATCTATTAAAATTGTTTTAAAAGACAAAGGAATAAACAATAGCAAATGTGAGTAATAATAATCTATTGCTTCAGAAAAATTAGGTGATTATGCATACCTTTTGGGATACATAAGCAATTACTTAGACATTAAAGGCAGCACAGTGTTGGGCCCAGCCACAGTGTGACATGCTAGTAGAGCACTGCTACGCTGCAGGCTCAGGCCACTTGGGAGCCCAGGCTCAACTCCTGGCCCTCCCACCCTAAAAGCTAGGTGTGGTAGTGTAAGCCTGAGGTCACAGCTATCCAGAAAGCTGAGGCAGGAAAAATCACAACATGACAAGACCCTGTCTTCAAAAGTTTAAAAATTTTAAAAGCAGCATACTTTTTAAGACTTGCATATTAATTATTTAAATTTGTGACTTCGAATAGGTAATATGAAGAGAGGATTTTAAAATTTCCTATTCTTGCAGAAATGATACCAAGTCAACTTTCTATTCGCAAATTATCTTTGTGTAGATCAATAAAAAGAACAGTAGAATGGTATTATTAATGCACATTTGTATGTTGTTTTAATCCTCTAAACAGTTACAGATATCCAGTAATACAAAGATTTTAGTAATACCAAATAGGAAAAAAAAAAAAGTTACATTTAAATTTTTAAACAGAGACAACATGGAACAGTATGCCATATATATTACGTGAAATTCATAAAATTCTAGTTTACTTACATCTATTATTTACAAATACTCATATCTACCTCAAGTATATTGGCATATCTAGGTAGAAAATAATGATTGTGTACAAATCTTATGAACATACACGGAATATAAAGAAGCTAGTTTACAAATGTATGTGTAGAAAAATAATTTTAGATACAGAACTTAATATGCTTTACTGCCAAAGATTTGTGCAGGAATCCTCTATTAACCTCAGTCTTGGAATTCTGATGAAGTCTCTAAGCAAGATCTTCCCTCCACTCTAACCTACTTAAATGTAAATTACATGTGCACATGGAATTCTAGGTGGAATTAAGCAGAGAAGAAATATTTTAGCTGAATACAATCATCTATACACACTCCTGGCTGTTAAATCATGCATGCGTGTAGGATGACAGACAAATATCTATAGCTATATAATCCTAAAGGCTTTAAGCAGGAAATCAAGGAATTAGGATCATCTGCCTACCTCAAAGTTATGACTACAAATAGACACACAAATACAGGCACACAAGTAAAGCTATTATTTTAGTAAATAAATCAGAAAACATATCACAAAAGCGATCCCCGAATGCATCCGGAGATGGTTTCTCTAAATTGGAGATGTTTAGATTTCTGTTCACCCTGAAATCACTCCTTCCCAGTCTCATCTGCTTGTTGGGCTACGGTAAATCCTGGCACTCACCAGTACAAAGAAGTATGCGTATATCGCTGCACAATGGTGAATTATAAAAGATTTGTCACCAATCACTTTCCAATACAAAATGATAATCAACAAATCTGTAAGAGGGAAAAATAAGGAAGATATTACACAGGAATAAAGCAACATTGTTTTTCAAGTGTATCGAACTCTTTCTCCTGACAGGTCATGCCAACAGCACTCAGAGCCCACAGTACTGTTCGTGCCTCAGCTAGTTCCAGTGCCCACGGTACCCTGGAGGATCTGTTCCTATGTACCTGGTTCACCCCCTCCATTGTGGCTCTTCTAGGACACGGGCCACCTTGTGGGCATTAACCCTCAGAATCTAACACAAAGCCTGGCGTATCTTATGACTTGTTTAGAACACAAATTCAACAAAAAGTATTTTTTTTTTCTTTTTTTTTTGGAGAGGTTTTCGCTATAGGGCGCGTGCGCTCGCCAGACAGACAGAGAGAGACATAGAGACAGAAAGCTAGAAATCACCCCCCAGGGGGGATGGTCACACCGCAATCCCTTCTCCTCCATTCTCCTCTCGGGATCTTGGGCACGCACGCACACGCGCCCGGCGTGAGTTTTAAGCCACCGGGTCCGAGACGCGAACCGCGGTCGACTACGTGGGAGTCCAGCGACATAGCCATTACGCTAACTGCTGGATCCCAACAAAAAGTATTTTTTAAAAATTAACAAAGCATGCAATTAAATATTAATTCAAAATAGTCAAACCACCAAGAACTATGATTATCAAAAAGACATACAAAGAAGTCAATATCGATTGGTCTTTAAAAGGTTCTGAATCTAAATATCATGATTCAGAAAATAGTTTGTTTACTAGAACAGCACAGAAATTGCTTGAAATGTTAGCATTGACTATTTCCTTTTTATCAAATAGTCAAACATGAACTGCAAACATGGACACAAACGGGGACAGTGAACGGAGACCCGGGAGGATTCAGATCTTGGCTAGAAATCACCCCCCAGGGGGGATGGTCACACCGCAATCCCTTCTCCTCCATTCTCCTCTCGGGATCTTGGGCACGCACGCACACGCGCCCGGCGTGAGTTTTAAGCCACCGGGTCCGAGACGCGAACCGCGGTCGACTACGTGGGAGTCCAGCGACATAGCCATTACGCTAACTGCTGGATCCCAACAAAAAGTATTTTTTAAAAATTAACAAAGCATGCAATTAAATATTAATTCAAAATAGTCAAACCACCAAGAACTATGATTATCAAAAAGACATACAAAGAAGTCAATATCGATTGGTCTTTAAAAGGTTCTGAATCTAAATATCATGATTCAGAAAATAGTTTGTTTACTAGAACAGCACAGAAATTGCTTGAAATGTTAGCATTGACTATTTCCTTTTTATCAAATAGTCAAACATGAACTGCAAACATGGACACAAACGGGGACAGTGAACGGAGACCCGGGAGGATTCAGATCTTGTGGGGTTAGGGTTTATATAATGTAGGGACTCTTCTTTTATACAAATAATAGTCACTAATCCAAAACTAGATATAAATATTTAGAAAAAGATATCATCAAATTATAAATGTTAAAGAGAAAACAAATATCACAAATGTGAAAATCCAAAGAAGTAATATAATGGTATTAGTAATTAACGTCCTCTCTAAATATGTTTATTTTTCCTACATATTTTGGCTGTATACCCTTTGGTCATCAATTTACCTGAAAATAGAGACTATTGCTAGTAAAAAGTAAATTAAAAAGTAAAAAATAATGTGCAGCCTCAGTTATTAAGGCTCTATTGATCATCATTGAGGCCAGAAAGCCAACAGAAAAAAAATATGTCTTGTTCTACCATCATCCCTGGTATTTTTTCCTCTGTACAGGTACTAAAAGTCACTTTTCAAATAAATAAACACAACCTGCTATTTATGTATTCTTTGCATAATAACTAGTTTAAAAAGAGACATATAATGAAAAACATATCACATACCAGAAATGAGGTAGCCTGAAGCAATACCAATATTCATGATCCCAATGGCTGAATAGCCCCTACAAATATTTTTAAAGAAAGGGTTTTAAGCACATGGGTTACAGATGACAGTTTTTTTAGATGATACTTTTTTTGTAATGAAAATGCTTTCTACAGTTTCTCAAACGATAAGTTGTCATTTTCAAATACAGCAACAGTTTTACATTTCCTCTAGTACTGGTACTAGCAGAATATACTGTCCCCAGGATAACCTGAGTCCCCACTCCCTGAGGAAATCTAGTGGCCTTCCAGTCCAAGATGAATTGTTTTAATCAAGAGCTCTGCAACCCTGCCTCCCATGAAGTTTACTCTAGGTCCAAGTTATCTCTCATCAGCTCTTGGGATGCAAATCGGTGTGAAATCCTTTAAGCATCTAGGCTGATCCATATTGAAATACTCAATATTAGGAGCAGACATCCAGAGAGTGACTAAGAGTATCCAATAAATTTTCTGAACCTACATTTTTAGAACTACTCCCAGAATCTTCAAACCCAGAGGTAAAGCGCAGGGTTCAGGTTAAGAAGGTATCATTCTCACCACAGGAGCACTTAAAAGAGATGTAGAAGATATCTAAGGCCCACTAAAGTGGACACCCCAATATATTGAGTCACCTAAGGAATGTCACCACACTACCAATTCTGGGTCCTGTTCTAAACCTACCAATGCATAAAGTATTGTGTTAGCTATCGCACTTCTAACTGCACAAATAAGCATAATTTCTTAAACGTTAGCTAAAAAGCTTTATTTAAATAACTTCACAGAGATAATTCGATTTATAAATGTGTTCTCATATAATTTACTTACAAAAGGATTCAAATGCAATCCCAGAATCTAATGTTTTTTATTCCTTATTCAGAGTAAAATATCACAGACTCAAATACCTTAAGAAATAGCCTTCCCATTTCTTATTTTAGAGCAAAATGGTACTACCATCATCTATCCCCAACTACAGGCATTTGCTTATTAACCACCAGCTAGGAAATAACCAGAGCACTTTGACCTTGCTGTTTCAACTCCTAAACATACCAAGATCCCACACTTAAGCCCAACTAAGGCTCTTTGCTGCAAGAAACAAATACAAATTATTAATTGTTTCTCAGATTTATAATGCAAACGACTCATGAAATTAACACAAGATAAAACGGAGAACAGCTAAACTACAAATAGAAAAATTTATTAGAAGTCATATATTTACAAATTTTTATCTGAGAAAATGACCCAGAAAATTGGACATCAAATAAATCATGGCATAAAAAATTTTTTTAAATTACATTATGTTGAAGTGATATGGGAAAAATAAACCAATGATTTAAATCTTTGTTATAACATTTACTACCAAAAAGAACTGGTTCTGGGTCAGCAGGGGGTTTGGAGGTTAAGGCACTAGATTCTACATGGCCAGCTGTGTGGTTCCAGTCCTTGGACCTGGTGGTTTGAAAATCATGGCAGGCATATGTGCCCCCAAATCCTAAGAGGAGACTGGAGGAGAAGGGATTGTGATGTCAGGGAATGATTTCTCACGTTCATTCTCTCTCTCTCTCTCTCTCTTTCTCTCTCTCTGGTAAGCACATATGCCCTACAGCAAAAAAATAAATAAATAAAAATTAAATATTTAAAAAAAAACCACAACTGGTTCTTCTGACTATAATGTTAGTGAAATAAAAATGAAAACTTTTTTTAAAGGTAAAAATTACACAAACTATATAAAAATCTGGTCAAAGATTCTGATCAATTACAAAATTGATTTACTTTGAAAAATATCTTCCAAATAAAAATTCATCAATATTGTTTCAGTTCAGATGGGAATTATTTCATATTTATTAATAAAAAACATCCTTATAGTCAAACTATGCTGGTAAAAAGATTTGGTTAGGGACCAGCAGTTAGCATAATGGCTATGTCATTGGACTCCCATGTAGTCGACCGCGGTTCACGTCCTGGACCTGGTGGCTTAAAACTCATGCCGGGTGCATGTGCGTGCATGCTCACCCAAGATCCGGAGAGAAGAACGGAGGAGAAGGGACTGCGGCATGGCCATCCCCCCCGGGGGGGGTGATTTCTCACTTTCTGTCTCTGTCTCTGTCTGGCTAGCGCAGGCGCCCTATAGCAAAAACCTCTCCAAAAAAAAAAAAAAAAAAGGTTTGATTAAATTGTCCTATATCCCCCCAGAGCTTACAACTACTATGTCCCAATAAAGTTTTTTCAAAACATACTTTCTCTCTCAAACTAAGGATAACTAAGCCTTCTCTTATAGGAAACACATACTGTGTATTTTCTGCCATTGAGATAATATTTAAATTTTTCAAAAGGAACCATCTTACAAATTATCCCATTATTACCCAACATAGTTATTAATACTTCAAATATTCTCGTGTGGTACTAAATTCTTCTAACATGGTCATCCATAATTCTCATTTCATCTTTTTGATATCAAACAATGGTTCAAATATAAATAGGAAGACAAAGCCTTAAGTAGACATTATCTAAGTTGACTATCCTATTTTACTAATGACTCATTTTTGCTCAGAACAGTGGTTACAATGACTTCCTTCTACTCGCTAACACAATATTAATGTTTATATCATCATCATATGTTCCTTGTTTTGTATAACAATTGCTATAACTAAGGCAAATGGCCCTCATTATCTGGATTCAAATCTAAAATAAATCATTTTGATGTACTTCGCAAAACAAGTCTGAACATAAGCATTTTTAATAAAGCATAAACCACCAGTATGTTTTCTATTTTAAAGAAAACAACATTCTTACTTAATAATTAATGTCAACACATAAATCAAATTGACTATCTTGGAAAGAAATGGCTTACCAAAGTGGATCAGCTATTGTGGCCTCATCAAATAAGAAAATGTACAAGCCCAAAATCCCAACAACCAAAGAATGGCATGTAGATACTATCCTGAAATGAAACAAAATATACAAAAGGATTTAGATTCTTCATAATAATCTCATAAAACTCATTGCAGCCATATATTTAATATTCTGAACATGCTATATTTCCGAGTACTTAAAGGAGTGGAGCTTACAAGTAATGACATTTATTTTCATCAGAATGAAGGTAGTGGAGTACTCTAAGAATAAAGCACAAAATCCCACTTAAAGATCCAAAGGCCACAACTTTTGGAATTAACAAGCAGGATGCCAAGGTCTACAATTGACTGCCAGAAAGCTGGTGACCCACCTCTTGGTTAAAAGTTCTAAAGCAGAAGCCTGCATGATGATGCAGTTGGAACAGTTTAGTGTAGACAGAGGGCAATGGGCAAGGCCACTGTCCTGTATCTTGCTCCAACCTCTGTCTCCAACATCACTGCAAGAGATTCCTGCTCCAATAAGCTAGAATGAGTTCCAAACCCTCTGGCCTTAACCAATTCCATAGCCTTAAAACTATTTAAATAGATCATGCTATGAAGATTTATTATCGGAGATTTCAGTTTTAAATGTATATTTGTACACATTATTTTATTTAATTCTTGTAACAAATCTGTAGGAATGCAAGGGCAGCTGTATTACTCCCTCTTTATCATTATTATGAAAGCACTTATAAATACAAAAATTAAGGATCATGAAATGGTGTAGAAACTCTGTTTTTAAAAGAATAACCCAGTGACAGCAAAAAAGTCACAAGATCCAAGTCAGTATTTTTGGTTATTTTTTAACAGAAGAAATAAAGTGTAGATGAAACAGTTTCTATGAACTTATCTTGCTAATAATTGCATGATTCAACCAATACTCAAGCTCCATAATATGCTATTTAAAGAACTATATACAGGGTACTGTGTATTTATCTACACAATGAAGTTTTCTTACCCAACAATTTCATATTTCTCACATCTTTATTGAGAAGTTTATAAGTAATGACATTTCTTTTCATCAGAATAAAGGAAAAGGGTAAGAACAAAGTTTCTCTCTAGAAAGTACTGGTATAAAATGAATTCTCTCTACACTATGACCATGAATTTTAAAATAAGTGAAATATATCAACCAATATAAAGTTTGATGTTAGAAAATTGTATTGTAAAATTTCACTGAAAAATCAATATGTACAATCTAATAGATGGTGTGAATCCCTAAATCCTTTTTTTTTTTTTTGAGAGAGAGAGATTTTTGCTATAGGGTGTGTGTGCTCACCAGAAAGACAGAGACACAAAAAGCAAGAAATCAGCCCCGAGGGGGGTGGCCCACACTGCAATCCCTTCTCCTCCATTCTCCTCTCAGGATCTCAGGCGCGCGCGCGCACACACACACACACACACACACACACACACACACAGCGTGAATTTTAAGCTGCAGGGTCTGGGACTCAAACCACAGTTGACTACATGGGAGTCCAACGACGTAACCATTATGCTAAATCAAATATTTTAAGGGCACAAATATTCTCACTAACTTGTCTGGACTTTTCATGCCAAGAGCACCTGTATTCCATTTGAGCATAGCAGTGTAAAAACATAATTCCTCGATATAAAACAAAACACCACATCTAAATAATCATAAAATTAGCCCTCTGTCACTATGCAAAAAACAGATAAAAGGAAAAAGCATAACCTCTTTTACTAACCTGTTTCAGTAGATAGTAACCATAAGTCGAAAACTTTCCTTTTGGAAAAATTCTAACTTTTTATTTATGAAAACCTCAAATTCCCTTCTATTTTCTATGTTACATAGTAAATTGGAAGCATTATAGGTGGCCTTCTATATCTGTAGGTTCCATATCCTGATTTAACCAACAGTAAGTTAAAAATATAAAAAAGTAATACAAATGTAATACAAATTTAAAAATACACAATAGCAACTATATTTACATAGCATTTACATTGTTTTAGGTAATGTAAGTAATCTAGTGACAATTTAAAGTATACAGAAGGATGTGTGTAGGTTATATGTAAAATACTCTGGCATTTTATATATGGAACTTGAGCATCCACAGATTGTGAAATCTGGCAGGGGTCTTAGAATCAATCTCCCATGGATATGAAAGGATATATAAAACTCTAATTGATGAGAATGGCATATAATTCATTAGAGAAAAGTTAACTTGACCCAAATAGTTTCACTATAATTATAGAACAACAACAAAAAAAAACATCTTGAAGTTGCATACTATTTTGTATTAAAGTCTATATGTTCAGAAACCACTGTTAATAAAAATTTCTATTTTATTCTTTAAAATCAGATATCTGGCAAAATATAATGTAAATTTCTTAATATCTAAAAGAAATATCAAGGTACCATCCAAGATGAAGTATGTCCATTTTTTCAAAAATGTTAAAGTGTATGCTTATAAAGAGCACTTTATCAGAAAATAACTAATGACCAATTTAGAACAGCAATTTAAAGTTCCTGATTTTATCAATTACAGATAGTATTAATATATTGTCAATCGACATGAAATAGCTCAAACAGACAAAAAGTTAAATTTTGGAGAAAGAGATTTAAAAATGAGTGCAGGTTAACTATTCCGAATTCAAATCCAAAACCCAAATGCTCCAAAATCTTACATCCCATATAAACCAAGTTGGATTGGGAAGCAGAAGTAAATTGGAGACAAAGAGAAAACACTAAATGCTAAATAAAACATAGATAACTCCAGACTTCCTTTTCTCTTTTAGACAGGTTTTTGCTATAGGGTATGTGTGCTTGCCAGAGAGAGAGAGAGAGATAGAAAGTGAGAAATCATCCCTCCAGATGGGATAGCTACGCCACAATCCCTTCTCCTCCATTCTCCTCTCAGGACTTTGGGCATGCATGCACATGCGCCTGGCATGAGGTTTAACCCGCCGGGTCCTGGACTTGAACCAATGTCAACTACATGGGAGTCCAGTGATATAACAATTGGCCATCTGAGAGGAGAATGGATGAGGAGGCACTGCAGAGTGGCCAATCCCCTGGAGAGGTGCTTTCTCACTTTCCCTTTCTCTCTGTCTCTGGTTATCTCTCTCTCCAGAAAGCATACATGCCCTGTAACAAATTTTCATAAAAAGTAAAAATAATTTTCATCATTTTTATCTTTGTTTTTAATCACTCTGTACCCTAGCTATTTCTTTGGCTTGCAGCTACCCAAGATTCAAATTTCTTTACCAACCCTAACCACAGTAGATAATTCGACAATCAGAGAATGTATATCTTCCCCATTCTCTTTTCCACCATTCCATCTGTCTTCATATATTAGAAAAGGCTGTAAGAAAGAAATGATATCTGTAGTACACCACATCTGAACAATATTTTTGTGTTAGTTTTAAGATGAAAGAATTCTATCTCTTAGTTTTCAGAAAATATCTGGAGAAACATATTTGCCTTTTAGGTGAAAAGAACTGTAGCATATTACTATAGACATAGCAGTGGAAAGTGTAAAAGAAAACAGCTGAAGTTTCATTCACAATCTGAGTGATAAAAGTGGTTGCCTACAAAACAATTTAGATCAAAGAAAGACAGGGAATTTTGGGCCAAATATGACTATTCTCAAATACCTGGACATAAGCAGCAGTTCTTAAACTTTAAACATTTCAATGAGAAATAATTTTAGCAATTTTAGAGACTGCTGATGATGTTTTATAGCTAGCATTAATTTCAACTTTATAACAAGAAGAAAGATTTCCATGGCTGCTCTAATTTGCTGAAGTTTGTAAACATGTAATCATGCAGGAATATCTGGGCACAAATAGTCTAAAGCAAGTGAAGCAATCATCAGAGTCCTTCTGTGTTTGAAACCTTGTGAAATTAATGAGTTTCATGCAAAAAAATTTGCACCAATTATTAAAATGCCAGAAGATTTCTATGTCCTTAGATGTCTGATTTTGTCCCATTTATTGTTTGTTAAAATATATAAAAAGTTACTTTTTCTTTAAAATTACATAAGAAAAGAATACAGAAAGCTCTAAATGATAATGAAAAGTTCATTATAAGATGCAAAGGCACCAATAGTACACCATGTTCTCTAGAATGTAGAGTTTAACTGCCCTGGGTCTGGCTAAGCAGATCACAAGCTACTCACAATTCTAACAAATAAGTCCTTCTGTTCTCATTTCCAAAGAATATGCTTATTATCACAAATATTTGAGAGAAAAATGCAAAACAAAACTCTTCCACAGTCAGCTGGAGTTTACTTAATCTTTTCACATTTTCCCAGAAAGATAAATTTTTCCTAATATCTTTCAAAGTAAGAATTCTTAAAATTTTCTTGTATGAGGACTGGCCTGTAGCCTAGTGGTTAAGGAAGCCAGATTCCATGTGGCCAACCATAGTCTGAATTCCCACTAAGGGATTGATAACCTTCTGGGCACGTATGTAAGCATGCCCCAAATCCTAACAGGATGGAGAAATGGAGAAGGAATTTCAGC